AGAGAGAGATCAATGTCATTCTAGAAGAAGAGTGTAAGACAAAAGTTATTCTTACTTTCAAGGAAAGAGTCCAGTCTGTCCAGCTGTTGCTCAGCATACCGGTCACTAGAGGGTAAAAAAACAACATGTAGTCATCTATGAGAGTTTACAATAATGTTGTTAACAACCCCCCCCCCCCAAACACACACATAATAAACAAAATCAAAACTACGTTTTAGACCTATGAACAAAAGTTAAAGACAACTACTACAATAATTTAAAAAAAATAGATCTATTACAATGTATAAAAGCCCCAAAGAGGAAGAGAGAAGTCTGTTAATCCTCAACAATATCCTTGATAACTTAATGGTATATTTTGTTTCTCTTTTTCTGTTATTTCGTTTGTTTACGAAATCAATAAATGAGTCTGGAACCCTATTGAAAAAAAACAGATTGTAGGTCCGATCCGTTTTTACCGATTGATACAAATTTGTCATTGTAAATAGCTAATCACGGATGAGACTCACTCTTGGTATCCACGGTATTCGCGATCAGATCCGTAGCTGGCGCCACCATATCCATCTCCATAGTAACTCGTGGGCCTAGTAGGACCGTACCCGACGGAACTGGAATAACCTCCATAACTTGGGGCACGGCTGTAGCTTCTTTGTGGTTCGTAGCTCGGAACTCGGTTGCTGTAACCAGAGTTATAGCCACTGTTCGAATTGGAGCCGTAGCCACCATTGCTTGGGTTGGAGCTGTAGCTACTACTAGGAGTTAGGCTATAGCCAGTGCTTGGGTTAGGACTGTAGCCATTGTTGGTGTTGGAGCTATAGCCACTGCTAGGGTTGGAGTTGTAGCCTATGCTGGGGAATGGGCTGTAGTCACTAACTGGGTTGGAGCTGTAGCCGCTTCCTGAGTTGGAGCTGTAGCCACTGCCGGAGTTTGAGTTGTAGCCACTGCTGGAGTTTGAGTTGTAGCCACTGCCGAAGTTTGAGTTGTAGCCACTGCTAGGGTTGGAACTGTAGCCACTTCCCGAGTTGGAGCTGTAGCCACTGCCGGAGTTTGAGTTGTAGCCACGGCTAGGGTTGGAGCTGTAGCCACTGCCTGCGTTGGAACTGTAGCCGCTTCCGGAGTTTGAGCTGTAGCCACTACCAGAGTTGGAGCTGTAGCCACTATCTGCGTTGGAACTGTAGCCAATATTAGGGTTGGAACTGTAGCCATTACTGGGGGATGAGTTGTCGCCACTGTCTGAGTTGGAATTATAGCCACTGCTAGGATTGGAGCTGTAGCCACTGCCTGAGTTTGAGTTGTAGTCACTGCCTGGGCTGGGGTTGTAGCCACTATTTAGCTGGGATGCATAGTCCTCACCTGGGCTGGGGTTGTAGCCACTATTTAGCTTGGATGCGTAGTCCTCACCTGGGCTGGGGTTGTAGCCACTATTTAGCTTGGATGCGTAGTCTTCACCTGGGCTGGGGTTGTAGCCACTATTTAGCTTGGATGCGTAGTCCTCACCTGGGCTGGGGTTGTAGCCTTCTTTGGGGGATGGGCTGCGCTCACTGTTGGAAGAGCCACTGCCACTGCTCGACTGGGCGTGGCACGCGCCAAAGAGTCCAAAGACGGCGAGAACAGCGAGTGAGAGCTTCATTTTGATCTGTTATAAAGTTGTGTTCAATTGAGATAAAGTAACAATAATCTCTTATCACTTGATTTAGGCTTCTACTCCTCTTACGTCTTTTCTTTACTTCTGTATTGTTTTTTTTTCTTCTCTTTTTCCTTCTTTCCTTTTACATTTCTTTCTTTCTTTCTTTCTTTCTTCCTTTTTTTCTTTCTTTCTTTCTTTCGTTCTTTCTTTCGTTCTTTCTTTCGTTCTTTCTTTCGTTCTTTCTTTCGTTCTTTATTTCTTTGTTTCTCCCTGACTTTCTTTCTTTCTTTCTTATTTTTATTTTCTTATTTCATTTTTATGGTTCGTTCTTTGTCTTTTCTTTTTAGCTATTTTTTTTCATTGGGGGGTGGGGGGGGGGGGGTCCTTTTTTGCTTTATACTTCTATCATTTTCCCGTGGAGTTGAAAACAGAGATTAGATTAACATGAAAGGTTCCATGGGGATACATATCCCAGCAACAGAGAAAACGAACAAAACGAAAACTTATGTTCTAGAAATGGACGGGAGAATGACTGGTTGATATATTTGTTGGATTTTTGTTTTTTAAACTTTGTCTTTAGCCATTCACTGTTTCTATGGACACCAAAAAGTATTAAGCTGGATTAACACACATACCGTTTCAGACGTGAATTACAAGGCTCAGTCCTCACAAAAGACAAACATTGCAGACTCACTATTCGTGGTGCAAAAAGTTCAAGGAATTATAATAATGATATTAAGATATATATATATATATATATATACCAAAATATATATATTTATTCAGCATGTCTGGGATTAATAATTGTCACGTGTCGGATCACCTCGAGCTACGATGAGACTAAAAATAAATGTGTGGTGCTCCGATACACTTTCGGATGTTCAGTATGTACCTCAGTGTTCTATGCGCCAGCACACACACGCACGCACACACACACACACACACACACACACACACACACACACACACACACACACACACACACACATTGTGTTGTGAACAAACACACACATTTGTCACCAATGTGCATAGTCGGCTTAATTCTATAACTATTACAGTTTCGCTCAAGTGTGGCCCTCAAAGCCTAGGTTCAGATCAACAGGGGTGTTTTCTTACGAATGTCTGATAACAGAAAAAAGAAGAAAAGAAACAGATTCAGATAAACGTGAACTCACTAAATTGTTGTAGGAAAGGCAAATATGGAAAATATATTAAGAAAACTTTTTGCTCTAATTATTCCATAAAATAGGAAAAGGATAGGCTACAGCCAAATATGAACAGCTCAATATAAAATGAACGCACTAGAAGTTTAAGTAAGTAAGGTTTTAACTTACCCCTTCCGTTCAAGCAGGCTGCACGTTGAGCAAGTAAAATGCTTATATATATAGGCCTACTGTGATCATTGATAACTCAGTCCTCAAACTGATCATAATCTGCAAATGGCAGGTAAATCCCTAAGGGTCTCTCTGCTCAGGATTTGAGTAAACTGAAGCCGTGGGAAACGACTCTGATGCTGTGTCTCACTTAAAATTTGGACTTGGTCAGGTCTCCCGAGCTCATCATGATGTTTATCTCCTCAAGACACATGCAGTTCATTCAAGCCCACGGCACTTTACAACTTTTTCTCAGGATCAGCAACTTTCCCATCAAAACATGATTTTTAATAAAGCATGTTTAGTGTAACCCGCGTACATCGGTGAAGCAATGATTTGGCTCTTAGACTTTACCCGAAAGACGCGAATCTAATATTCCGTTACGGGATAAAAACACTTTGTCGAGAGTCTCAGTCTTTCTGCCACGGTGTATACCATAATACAGCCTCGGTTGGTCCTTAATACAGGGTGCCCATTGGGGGGATCGGGTCGGGTCGGGGAGGGAAGCGGCTATCGTGGCGCAAGATAATCGCATCCGACTCGTCGCCTCGAAAGCAAACGCGTTTGTTTGCAGGCGACGAGTGGGGCGATCGCCCCCGACCCGACCCGACCCCATCCGCAGTGGGCACCCGTGAGGAGTTTAGGCATCCTGCCTTTCAAATCATCTAATACCATGTCGACGTGCATGTGGGCCAAAAGTATCTACTACAACATTTATATTTTCTATTTGTCTAAAATGGATGCTGCCTTCTGTTTGTTTGTTTGTTTGTTTGTTTGTTTGTTTTGTTTTGTTGTTTTGTTTGTTTGTTTGTTTTGTAAGGGGTGGTTTGGGGGGGGGGGGGGTTCGTGTGTGTTTTTGTTCTCAACTTTGTTTTATCGGGTGCCACAGTTATTGACAGTGAGACAGTGAGTAAGTCATAATTATCTGCCTATATCAAAACCAATAAAATAGAAAAAAAGAAGACTTCAATACTGACGTTTACTCTATTTGTTATACAATGCATTTGATTACACAACTACTTCTTTTCGTATAATATTCGCCCCTCCCTTTACCCCCACACTGCACCCCCCGGGCTGTCTCCTTTCCCACTTCTCTCGTATAGAGCGATCAGATTTTGAAGCTATCTATATTAATGTCACCAATTAATCAAGGTAAGTCGAAGAATTTTTTCATGGAAGGCGCGACTCTCCTCGTGACATCATAATGTCATGTGCCCTGTCCTGGCTAGAGAGCTGGCAAAAATCACGTGGCATATGGAATATGGAATTGGAACAAGTGTTATAACAATGAATCCATATTGTCATAATTATGTAAATAAACCTAGTATTCTGGCTAAAAAATTACTTTCGCTTGTGGAACAATGTACATTGAATTAATACATGGAGTAAATACACTCGACTACGGACGAGTTGATGTTGTCGGGGGCGTGAAAAAAAGATCAACTCATCCGAAATTCAACTTAACCGTTTGGACCTGTAGAAAAGAAGAAGTACGGAGACTTGTGCAAAAAGATCAACTTAACCGAAGATCAACTCAAGAGAGTTCAATACAAGTGGGTCGACTGTGTTGCGTAACGTTTAGGGATTTGATTTAGACAGCACCTTCCTTTTAATCAGTGATCACTTTTCGGTTAGAATGTACTAAAGGGTATACAAGTAAAACAAATAGCCTTCATGCAATCTTTACAGACATGCATAGCTTCACTCTCTAAAACAGCTTGTGCTCACAAATCGAACGAAAAATCCGTCCGTTCAGGATCTTAAAGCTTTTTATTAGGAGGTCCGGAGAGTAAGAGCCCATGAAAACATGATAATAGTAATGACAATAATAATAATAATAATAATAATAATAATAATAATAATAATAATAATAATAATAATAATAATAATAATAATAATAATAATAATGATAGTATATAATAAAGTGCTCAATCCCGATTAAGGTACACAGGCTATGAGCGCTTTACAATGCAATACACCAGTAACATAAAACGTTGTGTTCTTACCAAAAAAAATAAATCTCTCCAAATATTCATTGTATTAATTTTAAAACAGAAATGACTTCAGCTGGCATTTGGATGAATCAAAAGATTTGATCTCTATTAAAGCAGGCCTACTTGGCAAAGCATTCCAGATCTTACAGTCTCAACAGATTTGATAAATGTGATGGCGCATTATCATTCAAGCATTTCGTCCCTACCAGTGATTAACTTTGAATTCCCAACCAACAGTTTGGAAACAATTATAAAAGAAAAACAAAATACACTGGTACCAGGTTTTTTTTTACACGTTGAAGTTTATTTTTCTAAATTTTAAAACCATCGCAGTAGATAATCCAACCATGTATTAGCATAATAATAATGAAACATGGCAGTTTATTGATGAAAGAGAGAATACACAAGTTATGGTCATGAAAGATAGAGACGAATGATTAATCATAAGTGGTACAGATTGAAGCAATCCGTACAAGACCTTGAGATGGTTTACTGGTATGCAGTATGCAGCTCTCTGTTAGTTGTTCTCTATTCTACCCAATGTGATTGCACACACCCGTGGTAGGCGCTTCTCAATGGATGTCAGCACTAAATCAAACGCGTGCCGACCTGCTTTATGAAACATTACGCCATTACAGTTTCCTTTCTAGAACCATTTAAGTTAAAGTTGTGCCCCCCCCCCCTCCCCAGGGCAGTGCTACTGACTAATGTCATTATGCTTTTCCCAAAGGGGCGATATTAACATGTTCTTATGCACAATAGAATCGTAAATGGGCTGACTATCAATGTTATGCTCATACTGTGCCGGAACAACATAGGGGGGACTGCTGCTTTTTCTTTCCTGATCCTTACTCTTACTATCGTCATTTTCCCCCTACTTCTTTTATATGTTTGTCACTATCATTCTCTTGTGAACTACTGGTTCTGGGGTGCCTTGATAGTCGAAGCAGACTTTGTGCTGTTGAGGCTAGATCTAGAGAGGTGAGCAGAGTAAGCCTGATTCCCCGTTTGGACTTCAATGTTGACATCCACCCCTGTGGCTCTCATATGACCCGAAGCAGTTGCGAGCGCCGTAAAACCTTACTAAACAAAGCGGTGTTTTAGATTTTTTTAAAATATATAAATTTCTCTTTCGAAGAGCTGGATTTTTTTCTTTCTCAGGGCTCTTCCCCTACAAAGACACTGCTGATTACATCGTGGGAATGACTGATGCGGGCTTCCTGTGTTTCCTTTTCAATTGTTTCAACTAGCAACACATCACACGATTTAAGTTGCCAGATTCTCCATCACGGAGAGGCAAAAGCAACTCTTTTGTTACAATTCGACTGAATTTGACTGTAACCGCCAAAATTAAACACGTTTGTTTTACAAAGTTACGCGCAGACCTAGTCGTAGTCGTCGGATGTGAACAGCCAATCACAAAGCTTGTAATCGACGGTTACATAAGGGCCATATTTTGTGCGTGTATGTGTGTGTGTGTTTGTGCGCGTGCGTGTGCATGTGTGTGTGTATGTGTGTGTGCATGTGTGTGTGTGCGTGTGTGTGCATGTGTGTGTGTGTGTGTGTTTGTGTATGCATGTGTGTGCATGTGTGTGTGCATGTGTGTGTGCATGTGTGTGTGCATGAGTGTGCATGTGTGTGTGTGTGCATGAGTGTGCATGTGTGTGTGTGCATGAGTGTGCATGTGTGTGTGTGCATGTGTGTGTGTGCATGTGTGTGTGCATGAGTGTGCATGTGTGTGTGTGCATGTGTGTGTGTGCATGTGTGTGTGCATGAGTGTGCATGTGTGTGTGTGCATGTGTGTGTGT